ATGCAGCTTTCCCCCGCTTCACGCGAGGCTTTCGGGGAAAGTATCCCTAGGATAAAGCGAGGGGAACCCAACATTCCAAGCCCTCTTGCTCCAACGTTAGCCAAGGGCGCCGCGGAGAACGTTTCTGAGCGTCCCCAACTCACAGCTGCACGGCAGAAAAGGGGGCGTCCCCTCCTTAAGATCCCGTTTTGTTCGAGGAGCTCAGGGCGTGCCGTGGGCGTGCCGGAATGATAGCTCCGCCCTCTTCGAGCTTCTTATACCCCCTTGCTCCGTTTATGTAGGATGGGAATAAAGGCGGTGAGGAGGGGAAGTGGGCGTGGCCGATAGCAGCGTTCGTTCCCCCCCTTTGTTTTCGCCTTACGTCTGCTCTTGGGGAGGGAGGCGGTTCCTGTGGCGATGACGTCAGGTCTCTCAGTGTGGAAAGGCGGGCCTAGGCCAACCGAGGAGAGGAAAGATGGCGGCGGAGGTTGCCGCTCCTTCAGGAGCGCCAGAGGAAGCTGCGGGGCCGCAGCGGGCGACGGTGGCAGCGGCGCAAGGGCATTCCTAAGCGGGAAGTGGGAAAGCGCGCTAGGCCTGCGTTGTTGTGTGAGAGGGATTCAGTGACGGGGCTCATGTGCGGCGGAGGTCGCAGGCGTCCGTGCCCGTCGCCCGCAGCTCAAGCGCCGACAAGCGGCACCTCAGCCGGCTCCTGCTTCTGTTGAGCAGGCTCTGGGGCGCCCGAGCGAAGCTGAAGAGCGAGGCAGTGCTTCCGGCAGGCAAGGCTGAGAAGCCTAAGGGGGTGGCGGCGCCAGCAGCAGCAGCAGCAGCAGCAGCAGCAGCATGAAGTTCGCCGAGCACCTTTCCGCACACATCACTCCGGAGTGGCGGAAGCAATACATCCAGTATGAGGTACCTACTCTTTAGAGAAGGAGGGAAGATAAAGGGCAGGAGCAGCCTTGGCGGGAGCGAGAGCGGGAAGCATCTGAGAGGTTGGCTCTATGGACTGTGTTCGGGGCCGTGGAAGAAAATGTGGATAAAATGCGCGCTTGAAAGTGAGGGGGGTGGGGCTCACCCGGTGCAGAGAACGAATACTTAAAGAAGGTGAAATGTCTCGACCGAACGAGTTGAATGGAAATACAGTATTGCGATTTTGGTGGCCGGTGGGTCTGATGCAAAGGCTCTCAGTAGTCTCCATTTGATGTAGTCGTTGGAGCCCCCGCCCCCACCCTCGGTTGGGCGTAGCGGTATCGCAGATGCTTCAGTGATCTTCCAGCTCATCCTACCTTCCCTAGTACAATTCCACCGTTCCCTTCCTGAGCCGCATTCTGCTGTTCTGTTTGGGCTCATTCCCTCTGTTTATTCAGTTCACATGCATTTATCCAAGTCTGCAGGGACAGCAGGCTTTCTTCCTTAACTTGTCTCTATTTCAGCTTCCTTTGCCACAGATTTCCTAAAAATAATGCTTGTGCTTTGATGCTCTGCTTTGAGATACTAATCAAGATGGAAAGGAATATGAAGGAAGAACGGTAGCTTTTGCTAAGCGGTCTTTCTTTTGTTGAAGGCCAGAGTACTTCTGTTAGTAGGCAGTTGTAGTGGATGTTTGGTTGGGATATTGCTATTCCCAAAGAAGACAGTGGAGGGGAAGGCACCTGAAAGGCTGTCTGAATTGCTTTGGAAGGAAACTAGATGGCACTGTATCCCATGGTTATTCAGTCTCCACTTTTGACACTTGGGGTTTTTCTCTATTAACTACTGATAATTATCCTTAATTAGTCACTGAATTTGCTATATGCTGATACAATTCTGAATGTTAAAGCTTTGCATTTCTTGGACTTGAAGTTAAGGTCTAGTGATCCTGGTCAATGATGTCCTTGTGGGTGTGGTGATTCCTAGAAATAGTTCTAGAACAAAGCTTGCATAGCTCATAGTTTCAGCTCCATGATATTTCTTTGGGTGTGATGGATTAGGCATCAGGTTCAAGGCTTGCATCAGGTGCTTTAGCCCTATGTTTTGCTGTAGTTTTGTTATTCATTGTATTTTATTTCTTTGAAGCTTTCAGTAATTAAACATTTCAATTTTTCATTTATATGTCTGGCATGCTTTTTCTTACCAAAGTAATCTGATGCATAGGGTTTTTTGTGGGGAGCTTTAGCTTGTCCTGATCTTAGTGATTTTTATTGCACTGGCCTGAGTATGTGCTTTTTGTACTGGAATCATTAGCCTCTTAACTAATTGGGAGAAACTGGTTCTAGATTTTTTGGAGGGTTAAGGAATGAAATGGGTGCCTTTATCGTAAGATACTGTGGTACTTAAAAGTTTGTGAACCCCTTTGAATCTTCAGTATTTTTGTATGAATATGACCTAAAACATGATGTTTTTCACATAAGTTCTAAAACTAAAGAGAACCCATTTAAACAAATGAGTCAAAAACATTATACTTTTTATTGATTTATTGAAGAAAATGATCCAAAGCTACATATTTGTGTATGGCAAAAGTATGAACCTTTGCTTTCAGTAACTGGTGTGCCCCCTTTGGGGAGCAATAACTGCAATTAAACATTTCTGATAACTCTTAATCAGCCTGCACATTGGTTTGGAGGACTTTAAGCCCATTCCTCCTTACAGAACAGCTTCAACTTGGGGATGTTGATGGGCTTCCTCACATGTACTGCCCACTTTAGGTCCTTCCACAACATTTCTATAGGATTAAAGTCAGGACTTTGACTTGGCCATTCCAAAACATTAACTCTCTTCTGCTTTAACCATTCTTTGGTTGTACAACTTGTATGTTTTGGGTCGCTGTCTTGCCGCATGACCCACTTTCTTGTGAACTTCAGTTCATGGACAGATACCTGACATTTTCTTATAGAATTTGCTGGTACAATTCAGAATTCATAGTTCCATCAATGATGGAAAGCCATCCTGGTCCAGAAACAACAAAGCAGGCCCAAACCATGATACTGCCACCACCATGTTTCACAGATGGGGTAAGGTTAATGCTTTTCATTCAAGTCAAAAAGTTCTGTTTTGGTCTCATCCATCCACAGAACATTCTTCCAATAGCCTTCTGGCTTAACCGCATGGTCTTTTGCAAACTGTAGACTGGCAGCAATGTTTTGGAGAGTAGTAACTCTCTCCTTGCTACCCTGCCATGCACACCATTGTTATTCAGTGTGCTCCTGATGGTGGTCTCATGAACACTGATATTCACCAATGCAAGAGAGGCCTTTAGTTCCTTAGATATTACCCTGGGATTGTTTGAGACCTCCCAGAATATTACATGCCTTGCTCCTGGTATGATTTTGCTTGGTCAGCCACACCTGGGGAGGGTAACAGTGGGGTTGAATTGCCTCTGTTTGTACATAATCTGTCTGAGAGTGGACTGGTAGAATCCAAATATTTTGGAAATAGTTTTGTAACCTTTTCCAGCCTGGTGAGCATTAACATCTGTTTTTTGGAGGTCCTCAGAAATCTCCTTTGTTCAAGCCATAACACACTTCTACATACCTGTATTGTGAAGATCAGACTTTGATAGTGAATACCCAGAATTCAGTTCTTTAAATAAGACAGGACCTCCCACACTCACACCTGATTATCATCCCATTATTGAAACACTTGACTCTAATTTTCCTTCAAATTAACCAATGATCTTAGAAGTTCAAATACTTTTGCCACACACAAATATGCAGCTTTGAATAATTTTCCTCAATAAATCAATGAGCAAGTATAATATTTTTGACTCATTTGTTTAATTGGGTTCTCTTTAGTTTTAGGACTTGTGTGGAGAACATACCACATTTTAGGTCATATTTATGCAGAAATATTGAATATTCAGAAGGGTTCACAAACTTTTAAAGCACCACTATACATATTTTGCCCTGTAAAAGTTCTCCAAACAGAAAGGTTAAAAGTAGTAATGCTCACCACTCATTGGTCAAATGAGCAAAATGTCTGGAGAACTCTGGAATGTTTCCCACTGGACTGAGTCATTCCAAGGGCAGTTTGGTGGTTTCTAAAGTTAATCCTCTGAACTAGAGGATGGTTTGGCTCTGAAACCAGTGTGCTTCATCTAGAACACCATTACCTGTGACTTAACTGGTTCGAAACCAGTTATTTGTGGTTTATTCAGTAAAGTGTGAAAATAGGCATGAAAGCCAGTCACTCACTCTCAGCCCAATTCACCTTACAGGATTGTTGTAGTGGGGAAAATAGGAGGAAGAAGGAGTGTTAGGTATGTTTGCCGCCTTGAGTTATTTATCAAAATAATAAAAGGCGAGATAAAAAATCTAAAAAGCAAGTATGGTTGCATAAAATATTACTTACTAAGATGTGTAAATTAGACCATGCCTTTTATGTCACCCGAAGTGTGTTCATGCTTGTTAAAGATTCAGTATTTGCTGAAATGCTTGCTTATTCTTGATGGCTATTATGTTGGGAGGAAAGTGAGCTACTCAAAAGGTTTCTGCTTTAAAGGGCACATTCACTTAATATGATTTTGCCATATAAAGGAAGTTTAAGTTTGTTAGGTATGATGGAATTTTCAAGAAAATCATACAGTCTAAAAATTGATTCACATTTATTTGTAAATGAAGAGGCCCAGTTTGATTTGTTTTTGCACTCTTTGTGAGACTATAGTTGAATTCTGTCCAGAAGCTATAGTTGGTGCAAAAGAGAAGGAGGGCAAGAAGCCATCCAGGACTAACTACATTGCATGTATTGAAGTATGGTTGTAAGTTGCTTTACAAGCAATCACCTTTTTTGTTATGAACCTGTCTGAATATTAAGATTTTGAGGAGGGGTGGTTCTGAAGATCTCCCCCTACCTTCAAGAAGCTTATTAATCAAATAACATTTGACCCCCAACTTGTTCTGCATTTAGAGGATTTGTAAGGACACATCTCTCTTGCCAGGCTTTTAAAGGGCAGTGATTTTACTATTTGAGTTTTAGAGCAAGCTGCCTTGAGAAAATTCAGTTTGACTTGAAAGATGTATAAATATATACATATAAATCAGATAGATAGATAGATAGAATAGACAAACTGAAATGTTAAATTTATCCCCACTTCTGGCCACTTTCAAATGGAAGGTAGCACTACTGTAGACTGAAGCGTTGTAGTATGTTGCTGTCAGATATATGGGATTTATCTCCTTTATTAAGACACAAGCTTATTCAGTTACTAGGACTAAATATTTGTATCTAGTATTGGTCCAGAAAGAAAGAGTTCTTTTGGTCTGTCAGTTTCCCTGTAGGAGCTGTCTAAGGTATCCCAAATGTGGTATCAGAACAAGCTGTCAGTAGTCCTGGAAAATTTTAATACTGTTTTTGGTAACCATGAGATAAATACGCAAAGTGCAGGATTTACTCTTGGTCTAGTGTTTTAAATCAAGCAAGAAATAGTAGATCTTGTAGAAAATAGAGTTCTTCGTGAGCCCATTATGATCACAATGTTTCCTAGTTAGCTTTTTATTGACCATAGTCTTCAGCAGGGATGATCCATTCTGGACACTTAAGAGATCCCAGAGATTTCTGGATGTTCCCTGGAGCATTCTGAGTGAAGTAGCTGGAATTCCAGTTAAAGCCCTGGAATGATGAGGTAGATCTAATAGTTCCCAATTACTGTAGAATTGAATTCATGAAGTGGATGGATTATAATCTGAATGCTGATGGCACAAACCTCATAGAGCTGTGTCAAATACAAGCCACAGCAAGTAGTTGTGTGGCAATGATAGCTATGAAACAGTCTGTCTTCTATATCATTGAAATCTTTGGTAGCTGTCCAGGTACTTCCAGGGAAGCGCATGGTGAGCTAAAGACATAGAACCGATGACCGTGGCAAAGACCAGATGGGGACTAGCTGTACTTGGGTTTCATCAACATACTGATGATACCTAGGACTTTCAGGGGAGGTA